AGACCAAGAGCTGTGTGAGGAGGGCTGGACCAAGTTCCAGGGTCACTGTTACCGCTACTTCCCCGACCGCGAGAGCTGGGTGGATGCGGAGAGCCGGTGTCGGGCTGAGCAGTCACACCTGAGCAGCATCGTCACCCCCGAGGAGCAGGAGTTTGTCAACAGTGAGTGCTGGGGTGGGGGGGTGGAGCGCAGGGCCTGCAGGGGTGGAGGGCAGGGAGGGAAGGAGGGGTGTTGCCGCCGGGGCTGCACCCCGAAGCCCCGGACTAACCCTGTGGCTATCGCCAGTCCATGCCAGCTTGGGTGGCGGTCTGCACGTGCATGCGCTGAGACCCTTGTCAGGGCCGCAGAAGCAGGTGGCTTGCTCCTAGGAGCCCACCCACCTCCTGCCCCCTCCCCCATCCCCTCTGGCTCTGTGAGCTCAAGTTCTCAGACACCCTCAGGGTGTCCAGCGCCCTGCCCAACATCCACGCCTCTCCCTAGACAACGCCCAAGACTACCAGTGGATCGGCCTGAATGACAGGACGATCGAAGGGGACTTCCGCTGGTCAGACGGACACTCCTTGGTAAGTTCTGCCGCCCAGAGTGGGGGAAGGCAGACACCCACTGAGCAGCGGCTGGCTGTGTCTCCGTCCTCTCTGCCGGGGCCGGGCGGGTCGAGCGAACACCGGCATGAAGAGGGGGGTGAGGAAGACAATGATGGAATGCAGGCACACCATCAGAAGGGGTATGTGGAGGCTTTCGAGGGCTTCCTTGCCCACAGAGGACTCGGTCTACTCCAGGAGGCAGGCCGACAGAAAGCGGCATAGATGCCAAGGGACAGGACACATAGTAAATGCTGCAGGTCAGCAGAGGAAGTCAGGGAAGGCTTCCTGGAAGAGGTGAATGGGAACAGGGTCGTGGGTTGGGGAAGGGGACTCTGTCCCAGGGCCAGGCCTGAGGGAGAAGCCTAGGGAGGCAGTCTGGACTTGGGAGCCATGTCTCTACCGCCCAGTCCTCCCCAAATGAGGCAGCCTGTGAGACTCGCCCCTGCTGGCCCGATGGAGGAGTGGCTTGGGCTCCTCATCAGGGACGGAGAAGAAGGAGAGGGGTCAGGCCAAGCTCCTGCCTCAGCCTCACCCCTGCCCCCCCCAAACCTCCCCCCAGCAATTTGAGAACTGGCGCCCCAACCAGCCCGACAACTTCTTCGTCAGCGGGGAGGACTGCGTGGTGATGATCTGGCACGAGAAGGGAGAGTGGAACGACGTGCCCTGCAATTACCACCTGCCCTTCACGTGTAAAAAGGGCACAGGTGAGCAGAACCCCCGGAAGGGCCCAGCCTGGGTGGAGTCAGGACCTGAGGCTCCTGCTGGGGGGCCTGGGGCGAGGCTCCTGGTCTCCGGGCTGCTGATGTCCCCTCACCCGCCCAGCAGGCAGACTGGCATTGGTGGGGGGGGCTCTCCCCATGCCAGTGTCCCATGGCCAGTGGCAAGAGCAGGCCCACTCCCACGGAGGGTGAGGGTCCCAGGCTAGAGGACAGACTGGCCCCTACGCACACATGCCCCGGGGCCCCCGCACAGAAGGTCACTCACAAGGACTGTCCTGGTTGGGGAGCCCCGCACTCTTTGGGGTCCCCATGCATGTCAGTTGTCAGGTCCCGATCCTCCCCTTGGAGTCTGTTGTCACGGAGGTGCTGGTCGAACATGACCCTCCTATTCCTGTGCCCTGCCCAGACCTCCTCTCTGTCCCACTGTTTTCATAGTCACAGACCATCTGCCCGGCACTCGCCCCTTTTTCCACCCTTCTCCCTCCGTGTTGTCTTTCCCCAGTCCCTCAAGACCCTCCTTTTTTTCCCCCGCCATGCTGCTCTAAATCACGGAGGAACCCAGATGTTAGAACCTATGGTTCTCAGATGCTTAGCACAGCCTGAAAATGCCCCTCTACCAGCAGCCAGGCCTCACAGCCGGCTATCCAAGCACGGTGCCCCTTGCTTGGGCTCTGGGCTGTCTCATCACGGCCAGAGGGGGCCACACCGGCTCATCACGGGCATGGGTCATCACGGGAGACCCTCTGAGAGCCCTTTCTCAAGGGTGTTTGCCCCTCAGTGGCCTGCGGAGACCCCCCCGTGGTGGAACACGCCAGGACCTTCGGGCAGAAGAAGGACCGGTACGAGATCAATTCTCTGGTGCGGTACCAATGCACAGAGGGCTTCGTCCAGCGCCACGTGCCCACCATCCGGTGCCAGCCCAGCGGGCACTGGGAGGAGCCTCGGATCACCTGCACAGACCGTGAGCACCGCCCCTCCCCCACCCCTGGCTGGGCACAGCGTTAGATCCTGCCACCAGGTCCTCCTTCCTGCTCCCGGAGCCCGGCAGTGGCTGGCCCTCTCCTGGGGGTCCTGAGCACCAGCTGTCTGCGCTATCCAGGGGCTCCATCCCACTCACTCCCCCTGCCTCCAGGGAGGGCTCGCTCTCACCTTCACTGAGAGGATGAAGGAAAAAGCAGGTGGCCAGCTTCTTCAAGACCAGCTCAAAGCCCCTCGGCCCAAGTTGGGGCCAAGAAAAATCAAAACCAGAAAGCGGGTAAAGCCTCAGGTTGCCCTTCTTGAGCCCATGGTTTCTGCAGGGAAGGGGAGCCAGCCGAGGAGGGGCAAGTAGGGAGAGGCTAGGCTACCCCAGCTTCCTTTGGAGCAAGCGGTCAAGATTTCCGGTCTCCCTTTCACCCCAGCCTCCACGTACAAGCGCAGACTACAGAAGCGGAGCCCACGGGCCCCACGGAGGAGCCGACCCAGCACAGCCCACTGAGAGCAGCTTCCAGGACACGCCCAGGATGCTGAGCCCAGGAGCCTCGCCAGGCTGACATCCCACACGGATGGTGTCCTCTTCTTGTCGCTTTCTGTCATATAAGGAATTCCATTAAAGAAGGAAAAAACCAAATCCCACATTGTGTATGCACCCGCCCCCCGCCCCCCCAAATCGCCAACACTGCATCTGATTTTCCCCCCCAATGCCAAAGCAAAGCAAACGTATTGTAACCCGTGGACTGAGTCTAGAGACATTTCTTCAATCTCCCGTTGTGCCTTTCCAGGGACCAGTGCAGGGACAGGGGGAGAAGGGGAGGGGTTAAGTTAAATAAAGAAGATTATTTTTTGTTTCCTGACTTTATCCAAGAGCAGTGCAATGGTTGGTTCTTTCCCCTCCAGGGAGAGCTAGGGAGGAGGGAGGAAGGGGCCCGAAGAGCTGGGACCAGACCGCAGCTGAATGTATTGGATGAGGGGCCCGGAGGGCCGCACCATCTGCGTTGGGGGAGAAGCCTGGGGGAGAGGGGGCGGGCTCCACTAAGGGTGAGGGGGCAGGAGAGAACTGCCGAGGGATCTTCCGCTGCGTGGGAGGGGTCGGGTTCCCTCCCAGGGTCCCTCTTCCAGTGTCCTCTCACCCGGGCTGCCACCCGAGCAGCTGTCCATCTCAGCAGGGCTGGGTGGGAGGGGCACTTCCTTCCCAGCGGGAGTGCCGCCCCACCCCCTCCCCTCCCCCCACACCCCCGGGACGGTGCAGGCACCAGAGTTCCGTGCACCTATTTATATTTTTGAAAACTGAAGATTATGATAATTATAATAATAAAGACATTGGAAGAGATCTCTTTCTTTTCTTTTCCCTTTTTTTAATAAAAAAGAGAAGGCAACCAGCGTCTGAGGTCTACCAAAGGGGCTCTTAGGAATGGAGGGCAGTTGGGACATGTTTCCATCAAATGACCCCAAAGTGGGTGAATCTTGTCTCTTCACAAAGCCTGGAACAGTCACACCTGTTGTACTTATTTTTATCAGGGTACCTGTGCTTTTGATGGAGTGGGGGGGGGGGCAATGGGTGTGGCGTGTGCATTTACTCTCAAAGGACAACTCAAATGAGGCATCTGGTTACTTTGCATCGTTTGGCTCTTTGATAGCATGCTGCTCCCATAGGAGATGCCTGGTAGAGTCAAGAGCAGAGGCAAAATCAGGATTTCTAAGAGGCAACAAAAACAGTTGCAGACAGCCTGCAACACATGTAAGCCTTGCTTACACATAATTGTGGTTAGCTAGTTCGCTGGCCACTAGCCAAAAGGTCTGGGCATCCTGCCCTCAAGGAGCCTAGAGGGTATCGACGAAAACAATTTGGATTTCTTAAGGATTCCCCCTAAGAGACCTTGAGTGGGGCCAGGCGTGCATGGCAGGCACTGTCCCCTCCCGAGCCTGCTCATCACAGTTGCTCAGTGGGCCCTCGCGTCTGTGTGTCTGGGTGCTGGTTACTGCGTGCTGCTGTGAGTTTGCTGGTATGTTTTTGGGTGTGTATATGTGTGGCCCAGTATTTGTTGGTGAATATAGACACGTGTCCAGATTACCTATGAGTCTGGAAACAAGTGGACGAAAGTAGAGAGGGTACAGTGATGTCACATAGCTCAAGAATTATGTAATTAATTAACGGATCAGTTGGGAGTACAACGATGTCTGTGGTTTTCAAACTGGAGCCTGCATCAGAATCAAGAGGGTTTGGTTTCTCCCGTGGCCGATCTGGGGTGGGGCCCAGAAATGGGCAGTTCTAATAATTTCCCAGGGATGCTACCTGGCCACACTTTGAGAAGCATGGGCCCGCATGAAGAAAGGACTCCATAACTGAGTGTGAGTGGCAGAGGTGTGCCTGAGCAGAGGCAGGCCTGCTTTCCTGAAGCTGGGGAGGGGGCTGGTCTCCGAGATCTTCGGGGGACGGTGGGGGAGGGCACGGCCCCCTCTGTGTCCTGAGAGGAGCCTCCTCCTCTTCTGGGCCCACGCTGACACACAGCCCGGGAGCAGAGATGGTGGGAGAGCAGGCCGGAGCCCCCAGCTGCTAGGCCAGCCCCGAGGCAGGGTGGGCCATGCGGCAGGCAAGCCAGAACCTCGGGGGCCTGAAGGTGCAGCCCCCAGAACTCCCTGAAATAGAACTGCCCCCCGCTCTCCCTGGAAAGGGAGCTGGGTCCCGGGACTGAACGAGGCAGAGAGCCAGACACAGGGATGGGGGGGCATGTCACAGCACCATTTATTGTCCAAAGAAAGTACACACACCTGAGGGCCACTCCCTGAGCAGGGAAAAAGGAGAACAAAATACAGACTCTTTGGAGAGAGAAGGAAAAAATGGGGAGAGAAATTTCTCCCTTTCCTGGGACTTCACGCAGAAGCCTAGGGACCCGCTTCCAGCCCTAGCCCTCAGCTGCCCTGATCTGGGCCAGCAGCTTCTCAGAGGAGGAGGCAGGAGACCGCAATGCCCAGCTCCAGGGCCCCCTGGACACCCTGCCCCCCATCCCAGGCTGAGGAGGAGGGGCAGGGACAGCCACCACGTGTCACTGGGAGACAGGGAGAGGGGCTGCGTTCAGTGACAGTAGAGAGCCCTTGTGAGCCCACGAACCTCTACTGGCCTAGAGGAGAGGGGCAGAGGGATTCCTGGAACGGGGGAGCCTTGGGGCGTCCACCCGAACAAAGGGAGGATTTGGAAAGCTGGATTTACCAAAAAAAAAAAAAAAAAGTAATTTAAAAAAACTTAACTTGGGAAGTATAAAAACAACACAAAAATTGCCCCAACCTGCAAGGGAAAATGAACCACTCAATAAATACAGCGCGAGAGGGGAGGCGCGGGACCCCTAGCGGGGCCGGTAACAATATACGCCATACTCCCGGCTCCGCGGGTCTGGGAAGCCGAAGCTTCGGACACCGGGCTCCAGGGGCCCGCAGTTGGGACGCGGGCGAACCACAGGGTAACGGGCACTGCCATCCGCCAGCCAGCCGGCATCACAGCGGTCCAAGCCACGGAACTTCCAGGCAGCAAAGAGCTGGCCCACCTTGGCAATGTGGGCGCCGTCTTCCCGGCAGGCCTCCTTTGCCTCTGCCAGGGTCAGCTTCTTGGGGTGCTCCAGGTAGTATACCTGCCCTGTGGGAAAGTGGGGCGTGAGGGCTGGCCGGCGGAGGGGGCAGCCAGAGAGGACGGTGGGGCCCGCAGAAACGCCCGCCCATCGGACCTCCCCAAACAGAGCGGGCAAGGACGAGCCCAGGGAGCCACCAGGCTGTGGGCACTTGCCATGTGTCCTTTGGGAACGTACCTTCCCAGTTCTGACCCCCTCTCTGAGGGTTCCATCCCACCTGCCAGGGGGCTGGGGGCTGCCAGGGGGCTCCAGGCATGTCTGTACTCCACCTCAGCGTTCCCGAACTGCACCCTGGGTGGGCACCCCGCCTAGTCTGCACCAATCAGAGTCTCTCGCCCACCCAATCATTTACTGAGTCCCGGGGCGCCTGGCTGGCTCAGTCGCTGGAGCGTGCGACTCTTGATCTTGGGGTTGTGAGTTCAAGCCCCACGTTGGGTGTAGAGTGTATTTTTAAAAAAAAATCTTTAAAAAAAAAGTCATCATCGCTTCTCGGCCTTTTGGCTAAGATCAAGTGTAAAAAAAAAAAGTCATTTACTGAGTACCTACTATGTGCCAGGACACTTTTCTGAATGCTTGGGATGTGACAAGGAACGAATTTCTGTTTTTATTTGTTTCTCTTCGCGTGAAATGATCCCCTTCGTGAGCACAGACGGGGCTTGCTTTGTCTATGATGCCCAGGACCTAGTGTCGGCCCCAGCACGCAGTAGGCTCTCAAAAAATGTCTGATGACCCAGTAAACCAGGGATTGGGGTGAAGCAGCAGTAAAGCACCCAAAACTCAGCCCGACGTGGCTTCCACCCCTGCAGGTGCTCCAGACCTCCAGCTGAAGGTGCCGGTGGGGCGAGCAGAGGGGTCCCGAAGCTCCCCAGATGCCGCCCTCCCACCCCAGGCCCGCGCCTGGCCGGCGCGCTCACCCCTGAGGGCCGGAGCGAAGCAGAAGGCGTCATAGCGGTGCAGGCGGTGGCTGCGGGGGCCGTAGCTGCGCACGCCGGGAGCCAGGCCCAGGCCCCCGCAGGGCTGCCGGGCGCGCGCGATGGGGTACTGCACTGAGGCGTCCTGCAGCCAGCCTGCGTTGCACCAGTCCAGGCCCTCCTCCCAGGCCCGGAACAACTGCTCAAAGGAGGCCACCACCGCGTCCTGCTCTGCACACGCCCGCTGGGCCTCGAGGAAGTTGAGCTGGTAGCGCCCCCAGGGGTGCTGGTAGGGAAAGACCACACCTGGGGAGGGAGGAAAGAGGGGCCTGACGGGGTGGGCAGGGGCCCAGCGGGCTGGAGACCCCAGTCGCTGCCCCCTGCCCAATGGGAAGGATGCTCCCCCAACACACACACACACACACACACTCCCTCAGAGAAGCAAACCCATCATCTCCCGTCCGGGTCCAAAACGGAGTCTACGTCTGTGAATTCGCAGGGCTGTTATAAGAACCCCAGTGCCATGGTCTCAACGTGTCCCCCTAGTGCGTGTTGAAATCCCAAGGCCTCATGTGATGGTCTCAGGAGGTGGGGCCTTTGGGAGGTACTTAGGTCACGAGGGCGGCACTCTTGGGAAAGAGATCAGTGTCCCTCTCTAAGAGACCCCACAGAGGTCGCTCACCCCTTCCACCACGTGAGGACACAGTCTTCTCACCTGACTACGTGGGCACCCTCCCATCCCCGTCATATCTGACATCAGGGAGGAGTGTGACCCCTCCAGCTGCCGACTGGGCCAGACAGGTGGATGCTGATGGTAGAGGTCCCTGACTTGCCTTTCATCCTCCTCTCCTCACAAGGAGGTGGAGGAGGCCCTCATCTCACACTGGAGGGGACAGGAGCTCCGAGGGGACGAGGCGGCCACCCAGGGAACCACAGCAGGGGCGGGGTGAACGTGGAGCCAGACCATGGTTCTCTGTGCGTCCCAGCTGCCTCCCTCGCAGGTCGGACAGGTATGAGGACACACAGCCCGTCCTAGAGACAGAGAAGGTAACAGACCCCGGAGATGGCCCACGGGAGCCCACAGAAAATGTGGTGTGAGCACTCTGGCTGGTTTGGACAACACTGAGTTGTAACTGTTGCTTTTTTTTTTTTTCATTAGAAGATTTTTACAGAAAAGTCCAGAGATGTCACATAAAAGTGTATGCTTCTCTTGTCAAGTCAGAAAACCTGACTGTGTGGGGTCTGCTTCTGGGCCTGAGCAGGGCACTCCTTTGGGACTGGACGAGGGCTCAGCCGCGTGCCCCGTGCCCACCCCTCCCACCACTCACACCGGGCGGCCTCCTTGGTCTGTGCTGTCTACGACCTGCCCGAGTCTCAGCTCCTGTTTTCCTCTGAGTCAGGTGTGAGCCAGAGGCAGTGGTGGGTTCTGGAGCCAGACTGCCTGGGGGTCAAACTCCTACTCTGCCATTTACGGGCAGTGTGACCTTAGGGAAGTCACTTGACCTCGCTGTGCCTCTGTTTCGTCACCTATCAAATGGGAGTGATGACAGCCGTAGCTTCCCCGTGGGGTGTTTCAAGGTCTGCATGGCTGCCTAAAGCACAGAGTTCTAGATGGTTTCTCGGGGCCCTCTCCCCGTGGCCCGGGCCCTCGTGTCCCCCGACCCCCCCACCGCCCACTGGGGCCTCACCCCGCAGCTCCAGCTCCACCAGGCCGCTCTCGTCCTCCAGCCCGTCAATGACCTCACAGCGGTAACGCCCGGAGTCCTCCAGCCGCAGGTCCCGGATCTGCAGCGACACTTCGCGCTCCCCGTCCTGCCGCAGGCGCACCCGGCCGCGGTAGTCTCCGAAGGAGCGGTGCCTCAGCCCAATGGCCACCAGCACATCCTGCTCCAGGGCCCCATTCTCCGATAGCTTCCACCATTTGACGCGCACGGGCCTCGGGGACAGCAGGGCCGGCTCGTAGTGGTAGCAGCAGGGCAGGGTCACGTTGGCCCCCCGGTGGGAAAACAGGGTCTCCTCGGTTGTCTCTACCACCAGCTTCACCCCATTGAAGACGCCTGGGAGAGAGGGGGTGCCAATGGGGACCTGCTCCAGCACATCCATGCCCCTGCAAGGGCCACCCCCAGCCTCGGGAGTTACACCTTACAAGAATGGCCATAATGCGGCCCCCCTCCCCGTACCCACACGCTCTGCACTGTGACTTTGCGTCTCCTATCGGGAGGGGACACTCTTCCCCTCCGCCTTGAATCCATGCTGGCCCTGCCACTTCTCTGACCAAATGAACATGACAGAAGTGACGACTCTTCTGTGCCTGCTGGGAGTCTGGGTCCACTCTTTCCCAGGACCTTGCCAGCCCCTGCGACAACGAGCCTGGGCGCACCTGCTAGGGAAGGAGAGCCCACGGGGAGGAGCGACAAGCCCTCGCAGCTGGGGCCATCCGAGGCCAACCAGCCCCAGCGACCTGTCCTACCGACTGCAGACACAGTCAACTTAGACCCCTGGAGGTACACAGGGTGGGGGAGGAGGGTGAGCAGGACATAGGAGGCCCCCTGCAGAGGCTCTCATGCTGAAAAAGCCAGGGGTTCTGGTGCAGGAATTCTCAAAGCGGTGGGGGGAGGGGGGCGGTCCCTGAACCAGCAGCAACAGCATCACTGGGAACTTGGTGGAAATGCAAACTCCCAGGCCCCACCCCAAACCACCCCAAACTCAGGGGTAAGGCCCTGAGTTCAGTGTTTTAACAGCTCTCCAGGTGACCTTGCCGGGCACTGAAGTTGGAGAAGGCTGCTCTAGGACCAGAGTTTTGGGACCACAGGCCTGGGGTCAGATAAGCTGGAATTTTGGCTCCAACCTTCCGCAAGTCTAGTCTAGTCTAGAGAAATCAGCTGACTCTCCAAACCACTTTCCTTATTTGTAGAATGGAGTCACACCGGTAGCTACAGTGGGCTGTTTTGAGGCTCAAATCAGGGAAGGTGGGACATCTGGAAAAAGCACAACAGACGTGAGGCAAGCCTATCAAGTAGTGGCTACTACGTCCTTTGTTTTCCCCCGACGCTTTAGTGAAGCTGTGTTTGAAGATTTCACCGAAGACACTGAGAATGTTGGGCTAAATCATAATGCCTCCATGTGACAAAACACTACACAGCCAAGTAAACTAACCTGGCAGCTAGATATCTACTCGTTGATCTTGGAAAAAAATTGTATCCTATGAAGTGACAGGGAGATTCCCAAACCACACGTAGAGCAGGAGGTGAAAGACAATTTTCCCAATCCTCTATCAAAGGCTGGAGGGACTCACCTAACAGGTTAGCAATGGTTCCCCAGGTGGGGCAGATTATTTGTGATTTTGCTCGCACATATGCAGGGACTGAAGGGAAAGTGGTGAAATCATGGGTAGAAAGTTCAAGTTTTTAGGTTTCCTTGAATCTCATTAAAGTCATGATTGTCTAGGGGCGCCTAGGTGGCCAGGGTTTTTGTGAGGATTCTATGAGACAATGTACGGAAGGCACCGAGAAGCGTACCTGACACACAGACTAAAGAGTCACCTGCCCAGAGGCGCCTGGATGGCTGTCGGTTAAGCATCCGACTCCTGATTTCGGCTCAGGTCGTGATCTCAGCATTGTGAGATCAAGCCCCATGTCGGGCTCTATGCTGAGCAAGGAGCCTGCTTAAGATTCTCTCTCCCCCTCTGCCCTTCCCCCTCGGCCAAAAAAAGTCACCTGCCCAAAGCCATGTAGCCACTAAATGGCAAAATTAAGATTCAAACTCACATCTATCTAATCTCAAACCCCCTTTCCACTGGGGACCCTGGGGGAGGTCACACTTAAGATCTTGGAAAACTGGCAGGACTTTGGGAGCGTCCTTAAGCACACAGGCGATTCGGCTCCAACGCACTCCAAGCCCAAGGGACTAGCAAACACAGAGTAACCGAGCCATCCCTTGCACTCCTTGCACTCCTCAGAAATGAGCCTGGTCCGCTGCAAGGGCCCCGAGAGGGAAGGGGCTTCTGGCTCCACGCCCTGTCCCCTGTCGCGGCCTGGAGGCTGCATATCACAGCAGGAGCCAGGAGAGGTCCTGGTCCCCCAGCGGAGCATAGAGCCAGAGCCAGGAGGCCGCCCACCTTCGCCGTGGCCGTTGCCCGGGTTCCAGCCGTTGGGACTATTGGAGTAGTAGAAGCCATTGTAGAAAGGCAGGCCCGAGACACAGGGCAGCGGGTACAGCAGGACCAGGAGCAGCGGGCCCATGGCGCTAGGCACGGCTGCAGCGCCGGGGTGTCCGGGGCAGGCTGGGAAGAGAAGAAAAACAAGCCAATGAGAGAAACCTGCTGCATGGGGGGCCGGGGACCCCTGGGTTCCAGCACCCGCTCGCTCACTCACTCAGCAGGTAATTACGGAGCATCTTCTGCCCGGCAGTTCCTGTTCTCAGAGCCGAGAAGACCGAGGGCAGAGGGGAGCGAGTCCAGGTCCCTGCCCTCGGGGGACTGCACCCCACAGGCAAGCTGGGCCAGAAGCAAGCCAACAAAGCCTAGGGAGGAGTTAGGAGGAGGCATGAAGTCCGAGGAGAAAATTACACAGGGCGATAGGACATTATCGACAGTTTTCAGACGGCACGTTTGAATCTGAAAGATTGTGAGCATCATCTTTTTAATGACACCGAAGGGCCTAGACTAAACTAGAAAATCTCAGGGTGTATTCATGGTTAGTGAGAGGAATCCTGCATTGTCAAGCTTTTGTTTCAGTCCTGAGAGGTCTGTGGTGGGGGGCGGGGTGAATGGGAGGTCACAGATTTCTTACCCTGAGTCAAGGTCAAAATAGGCAGCTAGCCCTTGGGCTGTAGTTTTGTTTGTTTTTTTTTTAATATTGCATTTAAATACATCTTGATGACTGAGTTCTTTTGGTACACACACACCCTCCTCCCCTGGTGTATTTTGCACTCAAGGCTAATGCCTCATTCACCTCCCCCGCATCTTCCCCGCCCTCTGCTCATTGCCATTTGCTGAGTGCTTAATGATTTAAAAGACCGGCAGCCCTGGAGGAACTCGGTGCAGAGACCCGATGCCGTGTGGGGAATACAGAGGTGGGGTGGAGAAAAGGGGCAGGAAATGAGAGTGAAGACACAGGAGTTAGCCAGGTGGAAAGGACACTGGGGTGTGCCCAGCAGGGGCCCGGCAAACGCAAAGGCCCAGAAGCCAAAGAACACGTGGGGGGCTGGGAATGTGCTGGAAGTTCTCCATTTGTGCCTCTCTCTGCCCTGATCTCTGTTGGCTTCTCCCAGCGCCCTGGCCTCTGGCTTCCAGCAGGATTCGGCCAACGGGAGGCACCCACAGGAGATGGGCGGGAGGAAAGAAAAGCCGTGATTCTGCAGCACTGTGTCCTCTTTTGACCACAGCCTTGCTGCTGGCTCCTCTCCCCAGCACCTGCTCTCCTGGGCTGTGTGACACTGTTTCCTCCCTTTCCTGCCCACCCCCCCCCCAGGAGCGACTGCCATTGCTTGTCTGTCTTCCGCTCCCCTCTGCGTTGCCCCCCATCCCCACTCTAGAAGCCAGCCACTCCTTCCTTAGTAGAGTCTTTTTGCTGGAACCACCGAGGGTGAATTCTTCCTGCCAAAACCCTGGCTGATCCAGGGGGAGGCGGTGAGAGGGGTCAGCAGGCCCAGCGCCTAGATGCCCTTGGGGCTCCAGCCCAGGCTTTTCCCTCTCTCCTTTGTCCCAAAGGCCCTGGGGTGCCAGTGGGGCCACAGGATCAGAAGAGCCAGTCAGAAACACCCCTCCAGGGGCTGCACTGAAGGGGGACGGTGCGGCAGCAAGGCCAGGGCGCAGCGGGCACCTAGATGGAAATATGACTATGATTATCATGCAGCAACGTGGAAACACGCTTAGGGTGTAATTGAAAATGGACAAAGCACAACATGAAAATTGCCCATTTGCTATGATTGTAAGGCTGTGGCCCCGTGAATGTCTGCTGTATGGAAACCAGAATGGGAGAGAACAGCAAAAAGAGGGAGGAGGGTGGGGAGAAAGGAGGGGAGGGGAAAAGAAAAGAAAGGGGGCGCCTGGGTGGCTCAATCTGTTAAGTGTCTGACGGGCTCTCTGACGGGCTCAGGTCGTGATCTTGGGGTCCTGGGATCGAGCCCTGCATCCGGCTCTGGCTGGGGGGGGGGTCTGCTTGTCCCTCTCCCTCTACCCAACCCCCCCCCACCCCGGCTCATGCTCTCTCTGTCTCTATCAATGAATAAAATCTTTAAAAAGAAAAGGGAGAGGAAAGCATGGAATCTGTAAGGAAGGGTGGTGTGATTGAGAAGGGAAACTTCTTATTTCCATAACAGGAGCCCTTGCTGGGGAGGAAGGAGCCGACGTGGAGGAAGCTGACAGGTAGAAGCCACTGATCTCCTAGACCCCTTTGCAGAGACCCTGAGGCCCAGAGCCGCCCTCTGTGCTGAGGGTCCTTCTGAGGTCTCACTTCTTGTCCAAGAGGAGTCCCCAGGAGATACCCGTAAAGCCTCACAGGGACTTGGATCTGGGCAGCCCCAACAGGCAGCACAATCCGCAACCTAATACAGAAGTTCTTAGGTAGGAGGATCTGGGTTCAAACCCCATCTCCACTCCTTACAAGCTGTGTGATTCCAGGCAGGTTTCCTCAGTTGTGAAATGAACTTCATTAAACTCACCACGACCTCTGTTTCACCCATGTGTTCTACTCCTCTCCTACAGTAACATAGTTCTAGAGAGGTGCATGACTGGTCAGCAGAAAGCTGTAATTCCAGCCTCCCTCTGCAGCGAGGAGGGGTCCTGGGACTCCATGCTGCACAATGGCAGCGAAATAAGACGTTCCCCATGCAGCTCTTGGGTTAAAACAGTTAGGGATATCATTTCCTGGTATTTCCCTCTACCTGCTGGCGACCAGAGGTGCCACCATAGTCTCAGAGATGTAAATCACGGGTTGAATGACAGAGCCAGGTCCACCAGCCCTGGACCTCCCCTATCTGCCCCGTGTCATGAGAAAAACAAAGTCCTAGCGTATTTAGGCCACCCCACCTTGAGTCTCTTTGTGAACCCAGCGGAGCCTCACTTGGACTGCTCCCATTAGCATAAAAATACGAACAGCTGAGTTTAACAAGCCCTTACTATCTCATTTACTCCTGATCACAACCCCTAGAGGTGGAACCTCAGTATCCTCATTTACAGCTGGGAAGACCAAGGCACAGAGATTAAATCATCAGCCCAAGATCATCCAGCGAGGACATGGCAGAGTTGGGATCTGAACCCACTCCAGCTCCAAAGCCCGGAATGACCATGTCAAACTCAGGGAGGTGACATGTGCAGAGCACACAGCTCAGGGCCTGGCACACAGCAGGCCCTCCTAGGAGAGTCTCCTTTCCCTTCTTGAGGGTCCCACGTCTGGAACCAGGAAGGAAGTGGGATGAGGACCGAGAGGCTGTTGATACTGAGCTGGATGTCACAGGCCCCACCGTGTCCCTGGGCACCCACAGCCTCTGCCAGCGTAGGGCTCGCAAGCCCCCGTCTGCCGTGTGCCCTGCCTCCTCACAGCAGCTCATCGGGCCCAGATGCCCTCCAGTGAGAAAGGGCTTCCCTGGGATGAGCAAATGGAGGTGTTTCTGCCACAAGGTGATACCTGAGTGCCTGAAAAAGATGCAAATTTTTGCGTTAGATACAAATGAGGGGAAAAATAAGGCTGAGGCAGATTCCTCAAAACATATGCAGCTTTGTAACCAGACTGTTAACAAAACCAGGAAGAGTCCTAATTAAAAAAAAACACCAGCACCGTGAACTCTCCACTGACCTTGGCACCCAACGCCCTGTCAATCAGCCCTTTGCAGCCTTCACCACCAGGGCAAGGGCTTCCTCCTTTGAGATGTAGGTTTTCGGGGGCCTGGGATTCCAGGAGAAACCAGATTTGCCAAAATTAAGAATCTGACCCAGGGTGGAGCCATCTTCATTTTTATTTTTTTAACTCAGGGGAAATGACTTTGCAACTTCACCATGTGATTCCTACGCTTAGCAGAAAACTTTGTGTGAAGCTGCTGTTTAGGCACCCCCATCTCCCCAGATCCATTGCATCCTTGAGATGGTACAAGTTTGGATCCTGAGAGGCGGAACAATTTGGTAGGAAGGGATGCTGCATTGTCCAAATCTATTTGGTTCCTGAGTCTTGAACACTGAACAGCAAAGAGCCTGGATAGTGAGAGATATTCGTATGCGTACTTTTCTCCAGGACTGTCAGCATTTATCTTAAGGAATCCCTAGCTTGCTAAAGCTTGCTCTTTGCTTGTGAGAAATCCTGTTATAGTCGCTCCAATACGTCAGCATGTTGAGAAAAATCACCACTGGACCAATGTCATTCCATGACACACTGACTTCAGTCCCCCACTGTTCTCACCAATCGTGGATGAGGTCATTCATCGTTCAGAAACATGCACTGAGGCAGGAAAGACTCTAGCACCTTCTGGGTCCTCCAGCGAGCTCCTAGGCACCTCTTCCCAGCCTCTGAGACCCCAGCACACACTCACTCCCTCGGTTTTAAAGGGCTGCCATGTCCAGCGACTCCCCCGACCCAGTCAGAAAGAATTTTACTCTCCCCAATTAATCCACAGGTAAACAGAGGCACAAAGACATGAAGCAACTGTCCGAAGGTCACGTGGCCGAGACAGCGGAGGCAGGACTCGACTCTACAGCTCCCATAAGGATCTGTCACATAGAAGGACTGCCTTCCACTCATCAGTGCACTTGCATGGATGTCATTGTCCATGGGTTTCACAATGTCAATTTTTATCCCCCTTGTACAGAGAAGGAAACGGAGGTTCAGAAATGCTAAGTTGCAGGGCGCCTGGGCGGCTCAGTCGGTTGGGCATCTGACCCTCAGTTTCGGCTCAGGTTGTGACCCCAGAGTCATGGGATGGAGCTCCGGTCTGGCTCCGGGCTCAGCGGGGAGTCTGCTTGAGGTTCTCGCCCTCTGCCCCTCCCCCCACTCACGCACATGCGCAGGCGCGCCACCCCCCCCCCCTTAAAAATAAGAAGAAAAAGAATGCTCAGTTGCATGGCTAAGGTGAAGGTCTTCATCAGGAAATACATGGAGCTGGAATGTGGCCTCATTCACTCAGCAGGTATTTTATCCTGCATCCGCCATGTGCCAGGCACAGTTCTCGGTATGCGGGATACAAATCGGAAGTTGCCAGAGCTCACATTCCAGGGAGGGAAACAGACAGCAAATAGGATATGGGACATCCGTGTTGTCAAAGGGTCGCATGTGCTAGAGGACACAGAAACAGAAGCTTCCTGGTCTCCAGAGCAGACTTAACAGGGAAGTTCGGGGGTTGAAGACAAATGACCACCCTGAACGTTAGGCGAAAGCCAACCACCACCACTCAGGGAAGCAAAGGACAGGCAGCCTGGGCTCCCTGACCCTGGCCACCCTGGGGGCCGTGGGAGGCTCCCCAAATCAGCTGGAGCTTTGCCCGGGCAAAGACACACCTGCACCCTGCTGAGTGACCTTGAGCAAGTTACTCAACCTCTCTGTGCCTCCATGTCCTCATCTGGAAGAAAAAAAAAGGATAAATACTAGAACCTCACTTTAGGACTGTGGTGAGGATTATATAAGATGAATTATGTCCAGCATCAACACATAGCAGGTGCTCCACAAACAGTTGCTAATACTTATTGGCAGAAGAACATAGCGGCAGATTTCGGGTTCTAGAATCAGCCCGGCTACCGGGATTCGGTTTCGGTTCGCCCCAATTATTAACAGGGTATCAGTGGGCAAGTCACTGAGCTTTGCTTTCCTCATCTGTAAGATGGAGGTCACAACAATTCTAACCAGAAAACATTTCTGTAAAAATTAAGGGAGAGCATGTCTGCAGAGCACTTAGAACGCTGCCTGGAAGGAGGGCAGGCACTTACAAAATATAGCGGTTATTACTATTGTTAAAAGTGCAGTCTCCCCTTATTTCGGTGGATCTTTCTCCCCTCTCACTGCCTAAAAGAGAAAGCAGTCACCATTGCCTTCTCTTTACAGTTGGGGAAACTGAGGCCAAGGGCATGGAAGTGAGTGAAGCATCCAAGGCTTTATCTTTGGTAAACAGGCAGAGGTTAGAGAAAATTCTCAAGTCTCCTGGCAGCCCATCCTTTGCTTTTCCGAGCACCACTTGCCTCGGGACCCCTCCCCATGGCAGAATAAGGGGAACCCCAACTCGGAAGGAAGATGGGGCCCCCCAGGCTCTCCTCACTTGTCCGGCGGAGAGTAGCGTTCCCCCATCTACCGGCAGGGGGCAGCATTGCCCTCCAGGTTTCCACAAGCCCCAGCTCTCGGGGAGGAATTTGACTTCGGGGGGCCGCCCCGTTTAGACAAGGCTTACACGCGCCTTTGAAACCTGGCCCCCGGAAAGTGAAAGCCGGAGGTGTTTCCTACCAGCATTCCCAGCCCGCTGGCCCACGTAGGGCCGCGGGGGAGCGGCCAGGGCGCCTCTCATTCCCCCCCCTGCTGCAGAGAGCAGAGGCACTCCCGGGGGTCAGGGCTGGGCACCACGGTCCAGGCCGGGTCATACAGGCCGCTGGGGCCACCCAGCGAGTTGGTGACAGAGCTGGGTCCAAGAGCCCGCGCTGCTTCCTTCCTGGCCGCCCACCGACCCTAAATGCCTCCCTGAGCGACCCCATCTCCTACCCAGGGCGCTACTCGCCGCCCTCCCTCTGCGCCTCTGGTCTCGCTGCTCTAAGGCAGAAACCCCCGCGAACCGAGGCCTGAAACCGACGGGCATCCTTTGCGCTTTCCCTGGGACAGCCGAGGGGGCGGCAGAGGCCAAGAGGCGCAGGTCTGCCCGGTCCCCAACCCCCACGCCACCCCCGGGCTCCCGCGGACCCCAGAGCACCCGACACATGCCGCGGGGCGGAGCCCGGCGCGCCGCGCACCCTGCGGGAGGCTGCAGGACCCGGACCGCACGAGACGGGCAGGGACCCTGCGGGCCCCGGTGGCAAAGGGGCTGGACCGGGCGGTGGTCTCAGAGGCATCGGGTTTCGCTGGGGATGTGCCTCCTCCTGGCGCGCCGGGGGGTCCCGCGCAAGTCGGCCCGCGCCCCCGCGCTGCTCCCCCCCGCGCCCGAACTCGCGCCCGGGGCGCTCCCCAGGAGCGATCACAGCCCAGCTCCGCCCGGGCCCCCGCGGTGCCCAGCGCACTCCTCCTGCCCGCTTCCCCGATCCTGCCCCGGGAGACGTGGGACGCCGCGGGAGACCCAAAGCGGGGAGGAGCGGGGGAGCGCGGACCGCAGGGGGCTCCAGAAGCCCGGCCACCCCCGAGCTACGTACCGTCCCCAGGCGGCTCTTGGACAGCTGGAGCGCTCCCAGCCCAGGACTGTCCGGGTGCGAGGAAGCGGGCGGATTTGGGGGATCTTGAATGGCCCGAGAGGAAGCGGCTGCGGACAAACCCCCGCGTTCCCGCCGGGCCAGCCCCTTAAAGGAACACACGCCCCTTTCTCTCCCTAGAGCTGGGCCCAAAGGGAGGAGTTGCTGCCGACTTGGCTCCAACTCTGAGATGCTAGCGGGGTGTAAAGGGAATGTCCAGGAGTTACTATCACATCTTGGAGAGGGGTAAGTGGGAGATGGAAGAGGTGCGTGATTGAGGGGGTCCCATTAGCGCACTCTGGTTTATCCAGAAGTGGGACTAAACAGGGGGAGCCCCTCTCCAGCACTCTGCAGGTGGGCTATGGCTGCCCCCCACTTTCAGGAGCAGGAAGGGTAAACGTTCTGTATGCTTACCCCCCATATAAGGCAAGGGGACACTGACCTCCCTCCTGCCCATGAGTTTAGCCATCATGAAATCCCCAGGCAGACTGTTAACTCAATGTCAGGCACGAGGACGCTGACCCTAGTAGGAGGGGCTTGGGGGAAGGGAGGGCAAAATTAGGGGTGCCCCCGCGGCCAGCAGGGGCAACCAGGCTTCTGACTGGTGCTCCAACAGGGGCAGGGCCCTCCCTTAGAATCCTGACATCTGTCTGTCCAGCCGTCCAGCAGGCACCACCTCCCAGGACTTCTGTTTGGACAGGGGGTTTTGTTTCCATCCTGCTCAACAGGGGTCCTGGGCTGGACAGTCTCCCTCAGCAGAAAAGCCTAGAGGTCCTTCAACCCTAGTCGGGAGAAGGGTCACAGGTCATGGGGTCACTGAGTCCAGAGTCCATTCTTAAACATGTTTCAAATGCCTGAGTGCATGCGTGTGCACGCATGTGTGTGCGTGTGTGCATTACACAAGAGCCAGGAGCACATCAGAGCACAAAGAGCTGCAGTGAACTAGAAGGTACACTGTGGCCGAAGCAAATGCCAGGCATCAGGGAGCCAGGGAAGGTTCCTCCACGAGGAGGCGAGACCTGTCTGACCTCTGCCTGGAGATGGATTGGAGGAGAAATAAGACTCAAGTACCAATTAGGAAACTCTTGCAAGCTTCTCCGATGAGGAGGTGACCGGTATTTGAGGCCTCCGCCGGGCCAGGCTTTGCATCCAGGCATCTTCTCTGTCAGCTTCCACAAGGCCATGGAGCCAGTCTTGTTATTTCCATTTTACAGATGAAGGACTTGAGGCCCAGAGAAATTTAAGTAAATTGCCTAAGGCTGCGTGGAGCCAAGATCTAATGACTCTACCCTATTTAAACCAGGAACAGAAAGGAGAGCAGACTCCTGGGAGAGGTGGGTCAAGGGGTCCCAGTGCTGCGAGCCACAGGGGAAGGGGGAGGGATCACAGCCAGGCAGGTCAGTTTTGCTCCAGCAACTCAAGTTTCATGCGCCAGCCAGGGCCAGGGCTGGCCGGCAGGTGGATCTCCGTACTGGCTCCCCAGACCGCCGTCAGGAACGAAAAAGCAAATCTGGGGAGGAGATGGTGAGCGCGTGTGGCAGCGCGGGAGGCTGCCCAGGGGGTCAGGAGTGAGGGCCCCAGGCTCTCTGGAGTGGGACTTCCACAAGGCTATGGCCAACTCAGCCAAGGTTAGAGATAAGCAGAAGGGCCTGCATGGCTTAGGCCATTCCAGAGTGGCCTCGGGGCTCCTGGGCCCAGTGGGGGCCTTGTGACTACAACCGAATGAGACGGACCCCGCAGCAAACATTCAGTGCCATCACAAGGGTTGTGGATAGATAGGAGTGAAGCCCTCAGTTTTCCCTTATGCAAGTGGGACTCCTTGGGTTCCAGCAAGTCCCGGCACAGTTCATTCCTGCGGGGGGTGGAACCATCCCAGAGCAAAGGCGCGGAGGAAAGAAGCTTCTCCCACTGTTAGTCCCAGGAGAGGCCAGAACGGGGTTGTGGCTAGGAAATGCTCCCAAAACGGAGTCCGGAGGCCAGCAAATCTCCCCAGCCCCCCAGACTGACTCCACGACGCAATCCATGCAGCTCCACGGAAGAGATCTCTGAAACAGGAAGGAGTGGGCTGAAAGATCCCCAGGGGTAGGGAGCCCCAATCCCCAGTTCACTCAAAGACCACAGCCTGGGCCTTTTATTCTGTCCCTGCCCGGCTTAGAATCCCTGGCAAGGGCAGCTCTCAGGAAGGAGCCACTTCCAGACTAATTTTCCCCACGAAGTTCCAGCAAAGCCACACCCTCTCTTTGGCAGCCCCGTGGCCCGGATCTGCTGCCATGTCTACGTGTATCACAGCATGGCTCCCAAAGTTTGTTCCAGAAAATTCACCTTGTGTCCCAAGGCCTGGGATACTAGGGTGGTTTCCCATACCCCTTTCCCAGCTACTCCGTCCCTCCTCTACCTGCCGGTCTCCTTCCCAGATCACCAGGGCACTGGCCTGCACTGCCCCTCACTGGCTACTTCCTGATGTCATCAGCCTGGAGGGCAGGGTGGTGAGGGCGGAGGGGGACCCCGGGAGCTTGCCAGCAGCCTCCCAGGAACCAGTGTGCTCAGCCAGGAGGCCTCGTGACCACTCGGCAGAGCCCTGGCCACTTCCTTCCCGCCCTGCATCCCACCCCAGAGCCTCCCACAGCTCTGAAAGCAGCCCAGGTTCGTGGAGTTTCTAGTCGTTTCTGCAGCCCACCACTCCAAATGTAGAGAAAATGCCGAAGGGGAAAACCCAACAGCCTCAGCCATGTGCTCCTGGTCTGGTAGGAGAGCAAAGGCATTCGTGGAGACAGCTCTGTGCCAGGCACCCCCTTGCCCCTCACTGGGCCCTAGCTCTGGGCCCCGGGGCTGCATGGGTGTGGGGGGTGGAGGACGGAGGGGAAGAGGCCGGGCATCGGGACTCGGAAGTGGGACCCCTCAGGAGTCCCCTCCCTTCTCCTGCTGTTCAGCTCTCCATAGCTGGCAGGTGACGCGAGTATGCTGGCCTCTGGGAGGGCTGAGGGGGGAGGGTGGGAGCACCAGCCCAAAGCCCATGTGGACGGAGCAATGATGAACCCCAGCAAGAGTTCCAGGGGGTGACATAAATATATTTTGGAAGCTGCCTGTGTACTCTGGGGGAAAGAACCAGCACAGAGGGTGCCCCCCCAGGCCACCCACCTCCACCCCTTCTCTCCATAAGCCCGCCCACCCCACCCCATTCTGTCTCTTTTTAGGCCAAGGGTCAAGAGAGGTCTCCAGGAAGATAAGGGGGACTTGTCGGGGACTAGGTGGCAGCTCTGAGCGCAGCATTGTGCTGAGGGACAGGAGACTGTTATCCTCCAGCCTGGTGCCTCAGGGCTTCCTCCGGGGGCCGTGGGAACGTGGGACGTGGGGTGCGGGAGCGAGTGTCGGGAAAACACAGGAGACTAGAACCAGGGATCCGGGGAGGTGCAGGTAACCCCCACTCCCTACTTTACCCTTCCCTGTCCGTCCCAGACCTACTCAACTCCCACAGTGCCTAAGAGAATGGGAGGGCAGGAGGGGTGGGTGCCAGGGCCACGGGGGAGGGGAGGGGAGGGGAGGGACGGGGCAGGGGGGAAGGCGAGGTGGCTGAAACCCCCACCGCCAGCCGCCGACAGTCAGGAGGTGGGGTGGTGGAGGAGGCAGCGGGCCAACAGCAGGCCAGGAGGACCAGGTAAGGGGCCCTTGCGGTCGCGGTCACTCCAGCCAGGCTGACCACTAACAGCCCAGCAGCTCCACGCGCAGGGTGATGCGGTTGTGCCAGGCGACGGGCAGGATGCGCACAAAGCGAGCCAGGAAGGGCATCTCAAACATGTTCTTCTTGTGGGAATTATTGTCCAAGTTGCCAGGGAAGATCTGGAGGCAGAGGGGTTGTCAGGAGGGCCCCAGGGCCAGCCCCCCCCACCTCCCCTCAGAGCCCCCGGCCAGACTCGAAGGGCACCCCTGGACAGGTGACAGGAGGTCAGCCGGCCAGACACTCACCTTGCTGTCGATGGCCCCCTGGTCCCTGTACTCGGCCCAGTTTATGCTGTCGTTACTGTAGGCCACCTTATAGGCTGCCACGTACTGGATGTGGCCAAAGTCTCGGGCCCCCTGGGTAATGATGCCGGTCACTTGCCTCTGGGAGCCCAGGTCAACCTACAGGGAAAACCAACCACATTTTCTTTGTGTAGACCATTCTCTCCAGTAAAGTGGGAAAAGGCAGACAGGCTGGGGTCTGACTTCTAGTTTGGGGGAAGCTACTTCATTTGCACCACCTCCTCATCTAGACCATGGACATAAACCCTGTCACCTACTTTGTCACGCTCTGGTAGGCACTTCGCTGCAGTGAAGCTAGAGTTCACAGCCTGGGCCTTGGCCAACCTGCAGCTGATCCCCACCGCACCCCACCCCGGTACGAAGAGAACAAGGACAGGAGAGCTCCTGGAGCGGCTCCTGAGGGGTCCTACAGGGCTGTCCGCAGCCTGGCAGGGATCTCGAACGAGTCCAAATGCAGGCAGTTCCTCACAGAACCCGGCTCCACAGACTGATGGCGACTGGGGGCCGAGAGACAAACCTCCTGCCCCCGGTCCCTGACCATCCTGGGGAGCCTGCCAGAGGCCTCTGGACAGGCAGTCCCAAGACGTGGCTTGCACACCTGGCTTGCTGCCAACAGCAGGTGAGGCCCAGGCAAATCCTCACCCTGCCGGGACGGTTCCCTCATCTCTAAGATCAGTGGACAGTCCAGTTTTCTGTGCCTCTCCTGGTTCCCAATTTCATGAAATCCAAGGGCTGCCCCATGGTGTGTTCTCAGACGCCAAGTCAGGCAGAGAAATCCTGAGGTGTGCCTGCCTGGGTCAGGTGTCCCTCCTCTGTCCTGCCCTCCTGTCCATGGGTTCAGCCTTGTCACCCTGTGGCAGCTGGTGGGATGGCCCTACACACACACACCCCTTCACCCCTTCCTCTGCCTACACACACACACACACACACACACACACACCCTAGGTGGGGCACGTGGGAAGGGAAAAAAAACAAATCTGAAGAAAAACAAGGCTTTTCAGACACTTCCTCTCGGGGAGCAGGAGCCTGGGCTGGGCGGAGGTCAAAGATCAGCGACCCCATAGATCCCACCCAACCCCAGCCTTGCAGCCCTGCACCCCGACCCACCTGCAGCCACTCAGAGGCATCATTGGTCTGAGCGGTCCAGGCATTGAACTTGCCCTGCTTGTCCAGCCGCGCATAGAAGGGAAACCAGCTGAAGGCATTCAGGCCCCAGGTCCTGTAGATGCTGGAGGCCGTGATCTGCTTGTCGGGGATGGAGTTGTCCTTCATGCCCAGGGGCTCAGCACATCCTGCCAGCAAGGAGGTTTGTCACGGAGGTCAGGACCCGCAGCCTCCCAGAAGCAACAGCATGAGGCGACCACAGGGAGGAGCTGTGGATCCTGACCAGCCCCGGGCAGCCTCTTGGTTTTAGAGCCAACCGTTGTGCTTTCTCTCTGCCCACCTCACCGACTCCTCACCTGGGCCAGCCGCTCTCCGTTCCCACACCCGACCCTGACTTGCCCTTCCCAGATCCCCCACCACCTGCCCCCTCTGCACGAGGGCAGGCCCTGACACCACCTCCCCCATGCCTTCGAGGCCGGACTCATGAGACACCTCCTCCAAGGAGCCTGCCCTGACCACCTCACTTGGGCAGGCCTTGGGCCTCCACGGGACTCAGCCCTTCTCTCTCATTCCTACGGTCCAGCTGCTATGTAACAAGGCTGAGGCCTATGATTTTTGTCAAGAACATCAGCAACAAGCATCCCATTGATCCAGGGCTCACTTCTGCCATTTCATCTACCACAAGGAACCTGAAAGCCGTATCAGTAACCCCATTCTGCAGGCGAGGAAGCAGGCTGAGAGACAGTAAGCAGTGTGCCCACATCTCACACACACACACACACACACTCCTAATGACCACACCAGGCTGTGACATCATTGCCACCAGGCACGCCCCCTCCCAGAGCCATAAAGGCCTACCTGCTGGTAACCCGGGGATGAAGGGGACACGGCTGTCCTCCAGCAGGTGGAAATGAGAGCAGTTGGAACCCCCGGGGCTCAGGGCGGATCCCGTCCCCTTACCCAGCAGCCCCTCCCTCGGAGTCCCCCAGGGGGCCTTCACACTCAACACTGACCACTCCGGGTGCTGTCACTCGGGCCCGGGCACAGGCCTGCCCCACTCAGCAACGTGCCCAGCTGTTCGGCACAGTCATCCCCACCTGCAGGTGACCAGAACAGTTAGGGGGGGACAGGAGGAGACAAAACTCCCGAGAGAATGATGGGTGTGTCTCACGCCTGGCGGAATCCTCATTCCGCTCTGTCCTTTGGGGGCCTCTGGGGGTGGGGGAAGCAGGCCTGGACACCCCCGCCTCCAGCTGGGAGCAGGCTGGAGTATATGGTGCTTACACCACCATCTCCCCAGACGCCTGCACTCGGGCCACTAAAGACTTTGCCTCCAGCTGTGTAGGTATCCACCTGCTAATCGCACCACCTCCTTGTGAGGGGTGTTCGCCAGGTCATCCCCCCGCTCCTCTCACAGGGAGAGGCTACTGGGCTGGGAGGCGGGGTGTTCCTGGGAAGCCTCAGGCCTGGGGCAGCTTTGCAGAGTATGCCATGATCCTAGGCTCAAGGGGGACCCCTCTACAGATCCACTGCTTCCCTGAAGTTGGTGCCCCCTCACTCTTGGGCCTCCTGAAAAAGTCAGGCTTCCAGGGGAAATGCCGTTGGGAGGGGCACTGAGCCAAAGGCCAGGACTCTCCACTCCATCCCTCACTATGTGACCCTGGGAAGGACCCCAGGGAGGAGTGCTTCTCGTAGACCAACCAAGGATCTTGTTAAAATGAAGATTCTGTTTCCACAGGTCTAGGGTGGGGCTGGAGCCCATGTTTCTACAAGCCCCCAGGTGATGCTCACACTACTGGGTCCTCGGAGCTCACTTTGAGGACTGTAACCCACCCAACCCAGCCAGTCTACCACCCTGACCCAAGCCACCTTACCTTCCCACAGGACTGCCCTCACCCACGATGGCCCTCTGCCCCCATTCTCCCCACACAGCCTAAGGGATCCCTTCTAGACACACTCCAATCCTGTCCTATTAGCACTCCCCCTACCCCCACATGGCTGCCCCTTGTTCTGAGGATAAAGATCTGAATCCTTAAAATGATCCATACAGCCCAATTCGTCTGGCTCCATCCACCTCTCCAACCTCACTACCCAGTAAGCTTCCCCTCACTCTCTAGGCTCCAGCCCCACTGGCCAGCCTATCCTTCAGCATGCCCCAGGGCCTTTGCACTTGCCAGCTCCTCACATGCCTAGAATGCTCTTTCCAAGTTCTTCATGGGGCTTGCTCTGTCATTCAAGCCTCCACTCAAAAGTCATCCCAACAGGGGAGTCCTCATGCCCAGACCTCAGCCCCACACATGTGCACACACGCACACACGTGTATATAAACGCACACACCAACACTTTTCACCAGCCCACTGGAATGCCAATTAGGGAAAGGAGAAGATCCAGATCTTGAGGAAAGCAGACAGGACAGCCTCCACAGCTTGCCAGGCTCGCCCTCTCTTGGCCTAGGAGGGAGACGGCTGGGATAGGACCATGAACCATGCAGGCAACTTTAATAGCCAAAGGCTGCAGAGCCCCCAGACCTGTCCTGTACCAATAGCTTAAATGTTCTTTTAGCAGAAGGCAGTCTGTAACTCCCCATTTAAACAGTAAGGCTCAAAAAGGCAATGACCCTGGGAGAGGGAACGCGATGACTTAAATTCACACTTTAAAAGGACGGGTCTTGGGCGCCTGGGTGGCTCAGTTGGTTAAGCGACTGCCTTCGGCTCAGGTCATGATCCTGGAGTCCCGGGATCGAGTCCCGCCATCGGGCTCCCTGCTCAGCAGG